GTGCGTGCGTGCGTGCGTGCCTCGTCGGGCCCAGCGAGGCCGGCAGCCGCCTGGAAGAGCCCTGGAACACGGAGGGAAGTTATCACCCAGTGGAGTTAAAAAGAGCAGCAGGAGCCGCAGTGTGTGTGTGTGTGTGCGCGCCCTTCAGAAAGGAGAGGAAGCCTTTCACAAGACAGTATAAAGGCCTCCACTTTCCACGGTTGAATCAAGTCTTTTTGGCGGAGGCTGTTACACTGTTTCCATCCTGGCGAGCCCGTTTGTTTCTCTCTTTGAAGCAGCCCCAGAGCCCTGAGAGATGGGGACAGAGTTCTAACAGGCAGGGCTCTTCCCAGCACAGCTTAAGGGCCATCCCTGCTCCCCCCCAAAACACACACACAGCCTGCCCCCCCAAACGTGGCCGCCTCCCAGCCTGCTTCTGGCGCGGGAAGAATGTGTGGCGCTCCCAGGGATGCTGGCAGCGGCCCCAGCGCTTGGCTCCGAGATCAGAACCATCTGGTGGAGTGAGGGAAGTCAGGACAGTGCCTGGAGAGAGGTGGCCCTCCTCCGTGGCACCCCAGGCCTGCCGGCTTACGAGGCACGGGGCAGGAGGCGCAGGCCAGGGGCTCCAGGGACGGGGAGATGTAGGCGCCTTGCCTTTGAAACTCAGCACATCCCCGAATTCACGCGGCTTCTTTTTTTCTCTTGCTTTTTGTGCATGTTTCTTCTAGGGACTTCTGGGATTCATTGGTCTGGTCGGGGAGCCAGGGATCATGGGAGAAAAGGTAAGTTAGGTTGGGGAGAATATATCAGCAAATAGAACTAATGGTGGAGATTTTAAGAAGATGAAGGGGCCAGTTGCCCTGGAGATTTCAGCCTTCTTTCTCCTGGCTTCTTGCTTCCCTAGCATTCCAGACCCTCACAGTGCCATGGTCCCCTTTCCCATCGTCCCCTGGGGTTCCACCCTGCCCTCCCGTCAGCACCACCACGTGCATTCAGACTCCTATGTGACAACCAGCTCACGCACGTGGCGAGGGCCCTCCTGTCTGTGCACTGGAACCTCACAGGGGTGGGCAACAGAAGGGAGCTAAAGAGCCATCGTTTTTAAACGGGCACAGTTCCTTAGGCTGTCTTGGGAATCCCCCAGCAGCTCTTTTACAGACCTCACATTGGAGAGGTGAGTTAATTCAGGTCACCCAGGTAGGAAGTGGCAGAGGTGGGATGTGAATCAGGTTCAGTGCCTGAGGCCACATTTCACCCTGCTATACTGCCCTGCCCGATGTTAGCTCCTGGACCACAGGCCCCCCGTGGCTTCCAGTTTCCCACCATGGGCCCTGGAGGGGACCTGCTTTCCTTTTAGGGGCTTATCTGATCGGCAAGCTGGCCTTCTGGGGAGCCAATATTATGCCCACTGGATAGACAGGGAAACTGAGGGCCAGAGAGAGGAAGCCTCTGCGCTAATCCAGCCCCACCTTCCTTTCCAGGCTCTTCCTGTGCCTTACTTCTCATCACTCCACATCCCAAACCCTTCCTTCTCCTCCTCTTCCACCTTCCCTATTTTCTCTTCTTCCTCTTCTCTTTTTAACTTTTTATTGGAAGTAATTATACAGTCACAAGATGTTGCAAAAAACAGTACAGAAAGGTCCCATGTACCCTTGACCCTGTGGCCGCCGATGGTCACATCTTGCATAACTACAGAGCAATATCAAACCAACTCTGGCCTTCTTTATTGCTCAAATGTTCCATGTCCTCCCCCCCGCCCTGGCCAGGTGTACCCCTCCTCCTCCCACCCCTCTTCTCTCTGTGCCTAGATGAGTTATCCTTCAGCTCTCTCGGGTCAAGCAGGCTTTCCCCACCCACTTCCCCAGTGGGTCAGATCCCCTGCTGAAGGGCCTTGGCACCGAGACCTGCGCCCTCACTGCACTTACTCATTTGCATCTGTGTTGGTGATTTGTGTCTGTGGATACAAAACACAGGGCCTCACAAAAACAGAGGCAGGATTCAAACCCAGGGCCCCTTCCTCCAGCTGTCTCTGTCTCCTACGCCCAGCATCTCTGCCCTGGTCGATCTGGATTGATCAAGAGGAAAAGAGTTGCGTCTCAGATGCTCCAGCATCTCATCTCTGTTTGGGCAGTGGGTGGGGAGAGCGAGAGTGCCTTCTTTTGCCATCTCCACCTCCGCAAACCCAGCCCAGGGGATGCCAGGCCCAATGAGGACCACGTGACGTGGGCCACCATCAAAGGGGACAATGTCACTAGTGCATCCCTGATCAGGACCATCCTTGCCTGAGGGCAGCCCACTGCGGGGCATGCCACAGTGGATGCTGAGGCCTCCCAGGGCTTACTGGGTTCCTGGCTTCTGTGGAGTGAAATCCCAGCACCCCTTCCCCTGACCACCCCGGGTGATGTGACTGTAGACCTTGGACAAGTCCCTACCCCTCCCTCTTTGGCCTGTGGAAGGCCTCTGTACCCACCCCCCAACAGAGCCACCCCACAGCCATGACCTCCCTGCCTTGCTGTCTCTATCACAGGGTGACCGGGGCATGATGGGACCCCCAGGCGCACCCGGACCCAAGGGATCAATGGTAAGGAGCAAGTGTGTGCCACTTGCCCTCCCTCCTGTCACAGGGGTGGTGACAGCTCTGCTCTCCTCTGCCTGCTGCCGTATACCCCAGGCATTCAGGAAGACGGGCTCCTTCTCCCTCCAAGAGGCCTGGCGGCTGCCCTGTAACACTAAACTGGGGCCGGGGCCGAGCCAGCCGAGGCGGAAGGAGGAAGAGCCACCTGCTTCAGCTGATTCCTTCTCTCATCTCTTTCTTGGTAGGGTCATCCTGGATCTCCCGGTGCTGTGGGGACCCCCGGAGAACATGGACCCCCGGTAAGCCAAGCCCTTGAGCTCAAACCCAGTGTCCAGTAATAGTGAGGAGTCCAGGTCTCAGAGTCAGACAAACATGGGCTTGAATCCCAGCTCTGTATTGCCAGGAAAGATCATTGAACTTCTCAGAACCTAAGTTTTGCTCATCTGAAACACAGAGAACATAATCGTGGTCGTGATAGTGTAATCCCGTGGGTCAGATGAACCCAGGCAGGTCATGTTCATTGCACAGTGATGTTCCTGGCACAGGAGCATCTTGGTCAAGGCGCAATCGTTGCTTTGTTCATTCACTCGGGACATACCCTGTCGTGTGTCCCTGGAGCCGCTCCAGGAGCCGGGGGTGCAGCCATCAGCAGGGCAGAAAACTCCCACTGCCCTTTAGGAGCTTCTATTCTGGCATTTGGGGGAGAGACAACCCAATACATAAATGACACCTGCTCTGGAGGAAGTGTAGGGGAGACGATGGGAAATGCTGGGGACACGGGGGCTGAGCACAGGGGTGAGGACACAGAGGTCCTGGACTTCTTGTGATATCTGAGAAACCAGGGAGATTCCTGAGGGTCCCAAGGGCAGGGAGGGGTGGGAGAGGCAGGGTAGCTGGGGTGGGGGGACCCCATCTATTTTCCCAAGGGTGATATTGGGGGCAGGGAGGGGTGGCTCTCATCCTGAGCCCTCGCAGCTTCTGCTCCCTCTATCTCTGCTGATGGAGGATGGAGCCCAGGAGGGGCTCTCACTGGGAGCCAAGGCTTGGGCTCAGGGCTGGGAGCCCCCTCTGGGGAGGGGGAGAAGTGGGCTTCAGGCAGGTGGAGAGGGTATGGAGGAAGGGACTAGCCCAGGCAGGATCCCAGGGCAGGACTAGGGAACGATGAGTTTGGGCTGCCCAGGTCCCTCCAAAGGCCAGACTGAGAGACTCCCTGGAGTCTGATGAGGGAGGAAATGGGAGCCTTGGAGGGTCTGAATCCAAGGGAAGCATGCACATACCACTTCTCTGTGCCAGTGAGGGAAGCAAAGCTAGCTCAGTTCCCAAACTTTTCTGTGCACCGGCTGTGTACTGGGCCTATGCTCAGCCCTGAAGGTGCAGGAATGATAAGAATCACACCTGCTGGGGCGCTTGGGTGGCTCAGTCGGTTAAGCATCTGCCTTCGGCTCAGGTCATGATCTCAGGGTCCTGGGATTGAGCCCCACGTCGGGCACCCTGCTCAGTGGGGAGTCTGCTTCCCACTCTTGGCTCTTCCTCTCTCTCTGCCCCTCTCCCCCTGCTCATGGTCTCTCTCTCTGTCCGTCTCAAATAAAATCTTAAAAAAAAAAAATACATCTGCTTTTAAGATCCTGTCTAGTGGGAGTGCCAAGTATAAACGTCCTCTCACTCATTAACAGAATTTTTCCAAGCACCTACTACGTGCCAGGCAGTGCTAGGCACTGAGGAGAGATATGGAGGGACTAGCCAGGGATGAGAAGCCTGGACACAAGTAACCATCATCCCAAGAGAGAGGTGCTGAGCAGCAGGTGGTTCTGTCTGTCTCCTCTAATCCTTTCGATGAGGTAGAAAACTCAAAGTACAGAGGTGAGACGAGAGCCAGCACTCCGGGCTCCTGATGGTATATTTTCCCCTGTTAATGAGGAGGAGGAGAAGCCATTTCTGGCCCGGGGCTGGAGGGGCTGGTTGGTGGGCTGAGGAGCCCAACCTGTGATCTGAGGTTTCCTAGCCCACCCAGCCTGAAGGCTGCTGTCCCATCCCCCTCCCCAGGGTTCATGGGACCCAAGTTCCAGGGCCCAGCAGATGCTCCTGGAGAGGCAGTGATTGGGGACCATCCATGTGGGAGGTGCCCAGGCAAGGGTCCATCATCAAACTGTAGCTCTTGGGCCCCTGAACCTCAACCTCTCAGGGCCTCAGTCTCTCCATTTGTCCACTGGGAGGAGGAAAGCTTGGAATGGAGTTGCTGGGACAAAATGGAAGGCCAGTGGAAGACGGGAAAACAGTGGGGCCGTCCAAGCCAGCACATGGAAGGAAGCTCCTGGCTGCCTCTGAATCCCCTACCTCCAGGGCTCCACTGACCTCCGCCCTGCTCTGGGTCCCCGCACGTCCCACTGCTCTGGAGGTTGGCTCAGACCGAGTGAACTCAGTCACGTGCTGCCTTCAGCCCCCAGGGTTGCCGTTGACCTGCCACTGCTGCAGTATGGGGCTGGTCGCTCGGACCTCTTGGGGCTCCTTCTAAGCCAGCCAGCCACCCTGGTGCTGCTGGGGACGCAGTGTAGCACCAAGGTCCAGAAATCTGACTTCAGAATCAGACACGTGTGAGTCAAGTCCTGGCCACTTACCAGCTGGGTGATTGTTGGCAGTATTCGTAGCTTCTCTGCGCCTCCGTTTCCCCATCTGCAAGCCAGCCACAGAACTCCCTTCATTATGAGATTACTGTGAGAAATCAATGATATCAGTGTCTGATGGCATGCCTAGCACACGCTCTGCATATACTAAGCGTTTAACGACTGGTAGTAGGAATAATTACTATTTAGTAGCTGTGTTAATTACCAGTATTCCTTTAAGACTACTACCATTAAGGTCACATTTCTGATGACACTGTTCACGTCTGATGAGCAGTTTCCCACTTTTCCAATCATGTGAACATCCACGTTCTCCTACAGCCCCATTGAGGTGAGCTGAGATTGTTATCCTCATGGCCTGGGGGACTGAGGACCAGTCAGACTCCCATCTCTGACCCCCTCCCACATTGAGAGAGCTGAGAGCTACCCTTTACTGAGGACTTTCCGTGTCATTTTGTCTTCCCAGCAACTCCAGGAGCTAGGGATTCTTCTTACCCCATTTCATAGATGAGGAAACTGAGGCCCACAAGTTGAAATCACTTGCCAAGGTCACAGAATTAGGAAGCAGCAGAGCCGGGATTTGAACCGGTTCTCTGAGGAAGCAGTCTGTTCTTTTGAGTACTCTCTTCTACTGCCTCAAAGTTAAGACTTGGCTCCTGAAATTTCCCAGTGACACATTGCGTGCCTTCTGCAGTCCGAGATCCCGCTATAAAATGGCTCATTCTCACCCAATCTTCCTGTCATCCGCTATCTGGGAGTCAGCTCTGCCTTCTTATTGGGCCAAGTGTGGGTCCATGCCCTGCTTGCTCTGCTGACAAGGGGCAGGTTAGAACCCAGCCCCACACGTCAGCCCTTTGGCAGCAGCTGACTGAGGGTCTGCACCCCTCAAGGCCATGGGGAGGGAGAAAATGGAACAAGTTTTTCCCGAGGCCCCAAATGGAACTGGGCCTCTCCCTGGTATTTGGAGGGGGATGAAGCCTCCTCTTCCTTGTAAAAGGAGCACGCCCAGTCTGAGACTTGCTGCTGAACTGGGAGGCTCCTGGAGGGGTCCCGGCCAGCCGGCCATGGGTGAAGGCGTTGTTTGGTGGATATAGCTGGGGCCGGAACCCGGAAGAGAGATCAGGCATGAGGCAGCCCGCCTCCTCTCTTCTCCCTTCTACCTTCTGTCCTCTTCTGTTGTTAGATTGTTCGTAGTTTCTCCCAACAGATGCCTCAATTCTGGTCATAGGCCTGTGCCCTGCCGGTTCAAAGAACAAAGGCAATCCTGTGTCATCCTTCCCTCCCTCCCTGTCGCTCCCTTGCCTCTTGTCATTTCTGCATCAAACCAAGATAACGGGGTGGCTTTCCTGGGCCAGGCCCTGCTCCCTTCTCCCCTGCCTCCCCCTCCCTCACCTTGGGGCTGTGGTCTGCTTCTTCCCCCTCGTACCCCAGGGCTCTTTCTGCCTGGTCAGAGCCTCTTGGATGGCTGTCAGGTGATGTTCAGGGTCAGGGCAGGGGACAGAACATGGGCAGGCGTATTCTCCTTGCTAATGGAAGGAGAAAAGGGGAAATGGACATTTGAGGAGACTTTTGGTCAAGAGTGTCATGGTAGCTTCTGGTTGTTGATTTTGAGATACAGAAGGAAATGGCTCATCCATCCAGGGAGGCTTCTCCTCCCTACCAGATTCCTGGGAGAGGTGGAGGCCCACCACATTGAACTGACTTATGCTGAGGGTTATAGCCTGTGGGACAGCTTTTCCCACTGGGCTAAGTCCTTCTATGTGCAGCCAGGCTTTGCCCCCACACTCCTAGCCTTCCCTATTGCCCTTGCTACCAGAAAGGGGGCTTCTCCAAACTCTTTCTCATCCCCACAGGGTCCTCCAGGATCTCGAGGCCTACCAGGCGTGAGGGGAGCAAAGGGACGCCAGGTAAGTGGGGCCCAGCCCCCGGGAGGCTGGCACTGGCAGGGGTCACCTGACAGGGAGACTACCTCCTGCTCCTTGCCCCCTGCCCAACCCTGAGACCTGTGACTTTCACGGCATCAGGCAGGGTTTCCAGACTCATGCCGGGCCTGGCTCTCAGCCTGGCACCCCCTTTCCAGCTCGTCTTTTCCAGCCCATTTCTGAACACCAGGCTTTGCCATCCCATGGGTACAGACAGGGTCTGTGGTACCAGCGTTTTGTCCATTCATTTGTTCATTCATTCATTCCACCACCATTTATTTAGCACAGACTATGTGCCGGCCACTGTTGGAGGCTCTGTAGATACCACGGGAGGGTGGGAGAGGCATGACCCCTGCCTGCCCTCATGGCTCAATCAAGCAGGTCAAAGAGATAGTATCAGGTCGTAGGCATATAGGTGGTGAAGCACAAGCAGCTTGGGAGCCTGGACAGGGTATCAGAGCATGCTTCAGGGCTTCAGGGAGAGGAGGGTACTGGAGCTGGGCCAGGTTCCAGGCAAGGGAAAGCCCTAAGGTGGGAGAAGGTGTGGCATGTTTAGGGGTCTCCACTGGCTCCCCAGAGGGGCAGGGGAGAGGGATGAGACCAAGAATTAGCAGGTGGCAAGGCCGCAAACCACAGTTAGGCCTATGGCCTATAGGCCTATAGTTCCCAGGGTAGTGGGGAGCCGTAGAGGACTTTAAACAAGGGCTGGCCTGAGCACAAGCGCCAGAGGTGATCACTGGTACTTACTATGTGTCAGGTGCTATCACGCATATTAACTCATTCGGTCTTCAACACTACTCTATAAAGAAGGTGCTAGGCTTCGTTCCATTTTACACGCCAGGAAACTAAGGCACTGAGAGGTTAAGTCAGTTGTCTCAGGTTGCACAGTTAGAAAGTGGCAGAGCTGGGATTTGAACCCAGGGAATCTGGCTCTCTTGCACAGTGAATGTAATCTCATTTTCAGTCGTGCAGGGAGGGCTGATGAGTGGTTTTTTGCCCCCAGCTGATGTATGGGTGCTGGGATAGGCAGCCTTGTAGAAGGGAACCCCGATGGCACAGGGAGAGCCGACAGCCCAGGCCTGATATCCAAGATCCATACGGGGAATCTGTGATTAGTCTCCTCTTGGCTGAATTTCAAGTGGTTTAAAATTTTTCCCCAAACCAGATGGCTAGCAGTCAGCCTGGGAGAGTGGGGGGATTAGGAGGCATTCCTCTGGCCCAGCAGGGCCCCTCCCACTGCCATGTCCTGGGTCTCTGCAAGTGGACCCAGGCCCATTGGCAGCCAGTTCCACCTTGACCCTGTGCACATGGCCTCCTGCCCCAGGAAGCCAGATTAGCTGGAGATTCAGGTCCTCAACTCACTGAGCTTCCTCCAGCTGTCTCTAGCACCCCTTCCCAGTGGTGGCTCCAAGAATGTATGTCCTGCTTGAGGAAACCCAGGCTCCCAACCACATCAAAAGTCTCCAGGGCTGGGAGGGAAGTGTTGGGAACATGAGCTCCTCCCCCCTGCTGGGTTTGGCAGGAATGCAAAACCTGTGGGATCGGCGCCCTGGGTCCCCGGCCTAATAGTCCACCATTGGCCACTTCGCAGGGGGGTTACCTAGAGGGGCACCCATCATGCCTGCAAAAGAGCTCAATTCTGGGCAGGCCCCCATGTAACAACTGGCTTGTCAAGTGATCTTAGCAAGACCTTGCCACCCTCTGAGCCTCAGTTTCCCCATATGTGCCATGGGTAAGGTACAGGGCCCTGCCTGCGTCTCTGCCGATGTGCAAGAGGGGACAAGATGGGGCCTCAGGCCCTCGGCTCCTGTAGCACTGCTGACAGGGTCTGGATCCACAGGCCTCTGTTGAAAGAGGGGGGGCTCTGGGGTCCGACAGAGACAAATCTCAGCCTTCCCAGTTACCAGTTCTGGGACCTCAGGCCAGTTTCTTAACTTCTCTAAGACTTAGCGGATGACATTAGGAGGAGGTTGTGAGGACCCAGAATTTGAACTCACATCAGCTGGATGCCCATTTTTTTTTTCACCCCCACCACAACTCACTGCTTATCAGTGTGGGAGTGAGCACCCCGTCCGAGGGGGTGTGCAAGTCAGGGACTACAGAAGCCTGCCATGAAGGCTCTGGCCTGGGACAGGGTGTTGGAGGTGACAATGTCTAAAAGCCCCGTTACCTGGGAGACTCCACTCTCTCCCTCCACCAACCACTTTGAAGGAGTCGCGGGGATTCTGAGATACACGTGCCTGACACTGGACTCTGCTCCCATGAATGGGGCTAAGAGCTCAGCAGACCTGGCCTCGAATCGTGGCTCTTCCTCTTTGACCTTGAGCAACTGACTGCGTCTCTCTGGGCCTCTAGTTTTCCTCTGTAAAAAGGGTGAGCCACAGAACTGACTTCTCTGGTTGGCCATGGGATTAAATCCCTTGGCACGTGCCTTGCACATGGTGAGCACCTCCCTTTGATCATCCATCCCTTTGTCACAAGAGCTGCAATTGACCAGATTTTCTGTCCCAGCCTGGCTGAAAGGTAGCCCCAGCTTTGACCGTGAGCATCTTCCTGGGGACTGGCTATTAGAGAACAGACATATGGTTCTGATGGAAACCCGGGCCTGCCTCCAGCAGGGCTGGCTGGCCTGTGTTCACTTGGAGAAGGGAGGAAGAGGACGGGGGGACCCTCGGGACACAGGACGAGCTGCAGAGTGGCCCAGAGCAAGGGTTAGCATGTGCGGCTGCCCCGCTCCTGTCCCTGCCCTGGGGAGCCAGGGAGCGAGGGTGGCTGGGGCTCCGTTGCCCACTCCTCCCTCCAGACAGCAAAGGCTGTGGCCCAATTTCCCCTGAGCAGTGCCGGCTTCCCCCTGAGCTCTCTGGTCTCCCAAGGGATCACAATCTCCCAGGTACTAGAGGCTTTAGACATTGTCTTCTCCAACATCCTGCTCCAGGGCAGAGCCTTCATGGCGGGCTTCTCTGGGCCCTGACTTGCACACCCTCATGACGGGGAGCTCACTCCCACACTGATAGGCAGTGACCGGTCGTAGTGGAAAGAAATGGGCATCTGGCTGAGTTGGGTTTAAATTCTGGCTTCTCCACTTCCTAGCTGTGTGACCATAGGCTGTTTCCTTATGGCAAAATAAGGATAATAGCTTTTGGTATCATTGCCGCTGCGGCAGTTGCTACTACTATTAGTACAGATCACGTAAACTTTCTCTCAGAAAGGCTTGGATTCCGGGGATGAATAGGGTGCCGTGTGAGTCACACCAAACCGTCAACACTTCTGGGCCTCCACTGCAGTCCCAGAGCAATCCCTTTCCAGGGAGGTTTATGGCTCAGCTAGACACAGAGGCCAGGGGCCAGAAGCCATTTCTCAGGAGGGCCCAGATGTCCACCCATCAGCTCAGTCTCTGTCCCAGCTCCTAAGACCTGGGATGTCCCCACCTCAGTCTGGCTCCATCTCCACCAGGCACCTGTCCATGAATCAGGGGCGGAAAGTCTAACACATGGTCTGACAGTGTCCATCTGAGAGAGAGGGGCCCAGAGAGGGGAAGGGGCTTGCCTGGGGCCACACAGCAATCCAGCAGCAGAACAAGGACTAGCACCCGCAGCTTCTAATCATATGTTGTACTGGATCTTTGGAAACTCTCAGCTGGTTCTCTGTAGCTTGCTCTAAGCTGCCTGTTCTGAGGAAGGGACTGAATCCAGATCTTCCAGGCCATTCCTCTGTGTCCCTGGCCCTGGGGAGCCTGATGCCTCCTCTGGCAGAGCCAGCTATCCCTGAGCACTTATTAGAGGCCAGGTGCTGAACTGCCTGTGTGCAATACCTCCTGCCTTGAGGGAGAGGTTCTCATCCCCATTTCAGAGACAAGATAACTGAGGCTCAGCAAGGTCGCCTGTCCTGGGCTTATTCAATCCATGAGGCACTATTTAAGGCTGTGGGAGCCCCAGGTAGCTGATAAAAGGAATTGTTGCTTTTTCTGGCTCAATTATTAATTGAAAGTTTCCTTGCTTAATTTTTAAATGATTTCTTCATGCTGTTTTTCTCGTCCCTCATCCCACTCCTCGCCACCCGCAAGTACGTTCCCCAGTCCCCTTTTGTGGCTGGCCCCACACTCCCAGGCCAGGGTGGGCCAGCCTTCTGCACAAGACCCTCTTCGTCTCCCCCACATGACCTCTCTGGTCCCCTGCAGGACAAACACCACACTGTTCTCTACAGGGGGCTTTTTCCAGAGGACCCCATCTCATCTGTGTCTCTGTGGGAGTCCCCGTAAGGGGGTCACATGGGCCAGTGGGTAGAACCCTGGAGGGGATGCACCTGCTGATGTGCTAAGGGACCTTAGACAAGTCACTTCTTTGACTGGGCCTTAGTGTTCCCATCTGTGCAGTGGGGGAAGGGCCTGCCTCAAGGGGTGGAGGGGTGGGGCTCCCAGCTTTCAAAGGAATAAGACTGCTGTCTAGGGCTCCACGGAACGGCCGCCTGACCCCTGCCCCATTCTTGCCCCTCCACACGTCAGCTCTTCCCTCTGTGAGCAGGGCCAGACTGACTCGCACATCTGGCTGGAGGAGGCTGCTCCGCACACGTAGCCATATGCAGACCCTCCCGGGTCCTTCGCTGTCAGTGTCCCCCAAGGGTTGTGGTTCAGACACCCGTTTCTGACCCACGTGTGCTCGGGGAAGAGGATGCAGCAGCCGAGTCTGAGGGGCTGACTGTGGGGACCTGGCCACATGTGTCTGGCCCTCAGCCTGCCCGACTCTGAAGTGCATTGGCTGCCTGACCTCTGAGGTCTCTTTAAACAGGGTCGTTCATGCACTGCCAGCCCTATTCCAGAATGACAGGGCCTCTAGCGGAGTCCCTCAGTGCCTTGCCGTCTCAGCAGGCATGCTGTGCACGGGTGACCCGCCTCAGGGTGGGGGTGTGCGGGCAGTGGGAGAAGAGAGCCCCAGGCTTGTGCCGGGAGAGGCCCTGGGCTCTGGGCAGCCCTGCCCTCCTGGTTCCCAGCCCAAGGGAGACCCCTGCTGTCCACTGTGCTAGTCCCTTTTTCCTATTCCAGGGCCCCCGAGGACCAGATGGACCAGCCGGGGAGCAGGGGTCCAGGGGCCTGAAGGTACCAACCCCAGGGCCTGCCCTTCCTCACGCCTCCCGCTCTGGGTCAGGAATCTGGGAACCAAGGCTCACACCTTCCTCAGCACCAGCCCCTGGTGGCAGCAGGGAGCTCATGGGCCACTCCTCCTGACCCTGGAGCCTGAGCCTGTGGGCAGGGGAGAAAGAGCACAGAGAGAGGGAGCAGTGAATAAGAGGGAGCCAGAGGAGGCAAGAGTAAGAGAGGGTGGGAGGGAACCTCAGGTGCCCTCTGGCCCCTTCCCTGGGGCCCCTAGCCCCTCCAGAGCCCCTGGGAGCCAAGATTGCTTCTACTCCCAGCAGGAGCGAGGGGTCCTTGGTTCTCCAGAGCAGATGATGACTACGACCAGCCACTCCCCTTGCCAGGCCTCAGTTTCCCCACTTGCACAATGGGGAGAGGGGTGGGTCTGGTGATGACACAGGTTCCTTCCAGCTCCCATGGAGTGCGGATCCTGTGCCGTGAAGGGTCCTCCTGAGCGCCCTCTCCCACCCTCACATGCTTTGCTTCCTGCAGGGCCCTTCAGGACCGCAGGGCAGACCGGGCCAGCCTGGGCAGCAGGTATGTCAGCCAAGGCTGCCAGCCCCTCCCCGCTCCCTGCTTGGCGAGACGCGCCTCTAATGAGCCCACATGTGCTTGCAGGGTGCGGCTGGTGAGCGTGGGCACTCGGGCACGCGAGGCTTCCCCGTAAGTAGCATCAGTTCTGGGAATTCCGTGGGGCTCTGCCGGGAGATAAGAGCCATGTTACCAGGTTCCCACCCTGCTGTGGAAACCACAAAGGTTCTGGCTGCCCACTCTGTGCACTGAAGACCCTCTAGCCTGCCTCTTTCCCCTGAGACTCAGTCTCCCCATCGGTCACATGGCAGAGGGCGGGAGTGACACCCTCACACACTGCGAAGTCTTCTGGGCAGGGTGAAGGAGGCCATGGAGGGACTAAGGTCACCTCTGTTCTCCGCAGGGCATCCCAGGTCCCTCAGGCCCCCCAGGCACCAAGGGCCTCCCAGGAGAACCGGTAAGTGCTCTCTCTCCTCCCTCTTTTGTCTCTTTGCTCCTGGCAGGCTGGTCTCAGATGGGCCACTGCCTGGGAGTATGGCACGTGGTCAGCCAAGAAGGAGGTTGGAGAGGGACAGGACCAGGGCTCTGCTACCCTAATGGGACAGGCCTGGGGGGAGGGGGGTAGAGAGGGCACTGGCCAGGGAGCTCGGGAGCTCTGGGTTGGAGTCTAAGCTTGCTTGCCCTCCAGCCTAGTTTTCTTACAAGTAAATGGGAATAATTGTCCTTACCATGCTATCCTGTTGTAAAGATGAAACGAGGAAATGTATAAGCTGAGGGAACAGAGTATTCAGGTCTCCAAGGGAGGGAGGATGGGAATTGCAGGGTCCGGACAGGAGCCAGTGAAGGGTTTGAGACCAAGATAACCCTTCAGGAGGCTCCCTGGAAGGATGGGTTTGGGGGACGGCCCAAGGGTCAGGGCGCCCCTTGAGGAGGCAGTGGAGTGGTACCGCTGGAGCGGGACAGGAGAGGACAGCCTCCAGGGGTATAGGAGGAGGGATCCCTGCATGGGGCAGGGGGAGGACAGGAGGCTCCTGCCCCCTGGGGCCGCGCTAGAGTCCCACATCTTTAGGCCCAAGGAGATGCCGTTTTGAACAGTGAATTGACCAGGAGCCGGGTGGGGGTTTCCAGAGGTGGATCCCAGGTGGAAGGGCATTCAAACTGAGGGAGAAGAGTGATCGAGGCTTCTTAGAAGAGCTGGAAGGTTTCTGAGTGGGGGAGGGCCCCCCCCCAGGTTTGAGGGAGAGGAACAGGAGAGAGCGCAGATGGCTTGAGGGGGTGGCAGGAGACCGGTGGTGAGGAGGGAGCTGCAGACAGCGGGTCCTTGGCATGGCAGGTGGGGGGCATGGCTGCAGAGTTCCAGGTTCTGGGGATCCTCTCCCTCACCTGCCCCCTCCAGACTGCATTATTGGGCCTCAGGCTCCAGAGAGGGCCCAGGCTGCCTTCTCAAAACTGTGTGTGTCTGCCTATCTTACAGGGCCCTCAGGGACCCCAGGGGCCACTTGGCCCTCCGGGAGAGATGGGACCCAAGGTGAGCGCTGAGGGCCCCTCGTTTGTCCCGTGGTGTTGCCGGGGAGGTATCAGGCCCTCGCAGTCCTCCTCCACACGGGGGTCCCAGGCCTGGCTGTGTGCTGTGTCCTGTGTCCTGCAGAAACTGAAGGGTAGACCCCCCTGGTGGGAGGGCAGATCCACCCTAATGGCATAGGGCGAGGAGCTGGGTTCCCAGTCCCAGGGGCAGCGCATGGCACGCAGGGGTGCCAGGACCCTCAAGCGGGTTGGCGGTGCCTCTTTTGCGGGACCACGGGAAGCAGCAGTGCCCCCACCACAACCCCTGCTGGGACTTCCCCTCGGCACCGAGGTTTGACTGCAGAACCAGCCCTTTTGAGGGCGTGCAGCGAGGAACTCTAGAGGGACCTCCGACACCTCTGCCTTACCCAGAGGAGAAAGCTGAGCTGCAGGGTTTGTGCAGGGGCTGTAGCCATGCTGATGGTGATAACTCGAACCCCTTCCCACCCTTGTCATCCTGGCTCAGCTTTGGAGTAAAGCACAGGGATCTGTCTGCCCTGAATACAGCCTTGGTTGGCTTCCTCCCCTGTTGTTATGTGAATCATGCTATTTTCCTCCCTGTGCTGGCCAAGGGGCTCTTAATGTGGCAAACCACACTCGTGGGGAAGGAGAAGGCTCCAGCAGCCTCTGAGCAGCCCCAAGGCTCGGCACCGTGGGCCCAACCACCACCCTCCCTGTGGTCGCAGCTCCAAGCTCCAAGAAGGCCGTAGCCTGCTCCCAACTCTGTGTCTCTCCTGCTGTGTGACCTCAGGCACATTCCTTGCCCTCTCTGGGCCTGCCTGTTATCTCCTCCCTTACAATCGAAGCCAGCCCTTGCTGTAGGAGGGACCAATGGCATTTTCTTGCAGGGACCGCCCGGTGCGGTAGGAGAACCGGGTCTTCCTGGGGAAGCCGGGATGAAGGTAAGGCAGGATGAAAGAGAAAATTGACTTGTTGAAACCAGCTCCCAGCTGGCGGCCACGTCCTCCCCACGGAAGAGAAACGGGCCTTTCTTGTGTGGGGATAATGAGTTCTCTGTGTTCCTGGCTGGGGAGCAGGTCCTGGCTATGGCCACAGTGGCGGACCCAGCCGGCCTGGAGCCCCCGCCCCCCACCCCTGCCCCCTGCCCAGCGATGTTTTCCCTGGCACCTGCCCCACGCCCGGGCAGCCACATCTCCTGGCCTCCTGAGATACCATCTGCATTTCAGCCCCCAAGCCCCTCATTACCTGCGGGGAAACAGGCGCCCATTGATGCCTCGGTTCTGGGGAGAGCCCCCCCACCCGCTCTGCTGTGGAAGAGGATGCAGCTCCCCATGCAGGCCCCGGAGCTGACAAGCGACACTGGCAGCCTGATGGCCTTGCTAGGCAGGGCCTGGGGGAGCCACCAGGGTCTGTGGGACTAGAGGCAGACACCCCCTCCCCAGCAGTGCCTGAGCCTCCCTGCCATTCAGAGGGACTTGGACCAACCCTGGGACTTCAGTTGTTGGCTTAGATCCAGAAACCCTTGCTCCAACAATGCAGAAAACTACCCCATATATAAAACACACAGAAATGGGATCCTCCTGGTTAGGGCAGGGCTGGGGGCTCAGCGCTCCTCCTCCTCCTCCCGGTACCACCCCCCCCCCCCCCCGGACGTCAGCACAGAGGGAGACTAGTTTAGAAACCCCCACGTGGTGATCTTTTGGGGGGCAGATGACATTTATTCTGGCTCATTTAGGGCCTCTTCCTCCTTTGGGTTTCTCTCCAAGGCTCTCAGGGAGAGTAAAGAAGGTGGTCAGCCACAGAGTTGCCATCCCTGCATCTGATCCTCCCTGGAGCCAAACTACCCAGGTTTGGATCCTGAATCTGTCCCTTCTTAGCCTCATGGGCCTGGGCTAGTGACGTAACCCCCGTGCGTGGTCTCTTGGTTTCTCCATTTGTAAAAGAAGATCCCTTCTCTGGCAGGGTTGTTGTGAGGTTTCAGTGTGAAATCGAGAGTCCCTTAGAGCAGCGCCGTGTAAACATGAGCTCGATGGTGGTGGCATTCGCACGGCCCCAACACGGCCAGTTCTGGCCTGGAACAGGGGCTCTGGTTGGCATTTTACAGTGTTGCTTTGGTCCTTGGGAAGGAGGGGCTGCCCCAGCTCTGCACCCAAATCAGAGCTGGTGAGGACAGGAAGGTGAGGCAAGGGCTGGGACTGGCCCTACCCACCCCCATGGACTTGTGTTTGGCTTCTCCTAGGGTGACCTTGGGCCTCTGGGCACCCCTGGGGAGCAGGGCCTCATTGGGCAGCGGGTAAGTCGAAGCAAATTCATTCTTCCTGGAAAGCCACCTGAGGGGCACTTGGGTCTGGGGGAAGGGCTTTACTCAACCTCCCTGAGCCTCAGGGAGAAAGAGACTATGAATTCCTGCAGCCTCATCCTGTCTCTCTGGGTGAGCCAGCATTTCCACAATGCAGAGGCACTCTTGGAAGAAAAGGATCCTGTGGTCAAAGTGTTTGAGACTCACTGCATGCTCCGTGTTCCCTCTTCCACATTAGTAGTAGCATTTTTAAAGCTCTGAGAAGGCCTGCAGCCAAGACAGTGGTTCCTGACTTATTTGGATGCACTTTTACTTTTGAAAAACGCCTGTTATCATCCCTGGAAACTGTTCCATGGAAGGTTATCGTCCCCTTTTCTAAAAGAAACCCACAAAGCTTGTCTTTGAGAAGCTTTGGGATGCCTCTCTGTCCACCTCTCTATGCTCCGTGCCCAGTTTATACAGTCTCTGCCTGAATATGGCCTGCAGGCGTACTGGGGAGGAGTACAGAGCAGGCATCCTGTAGTACCTGCCAGGTACAGAAGGTGGGGTCTAAGAGGGAGCGGGAGTTAGCATGGGCCTCAGTTCCTGGGGGCACCAGGGACAGCCCAAGTGCCCTTCATTTCTTATCATTCCTGTTTTTCCAATGCTTCGTGCTTTCCCTGCCCAGAGTTGCAAGAAAGACCACAGGGCAAGGCAGGATGTGTGTGCAGCCCGAACCCCTGAGATGGTAAATCTTGTGTGTCAACGAAGACTGATCCGTAGTTTTCTTAGAGTGCCGCATTAAGAAGGATTCTGAGGCACAGTAGGAGAGAGAACGACGAGCACTCACTTGAGGCCCACTCTGTGCCAGGCCCTTCTCTCAAAGCACTGGGAAGAGAGCAGTGAGTAACAGAAGGCCTTGTTCGTATGGAGCCACCTTCTAGTGGATACGTTAGTGACATCTGCCACAGGCACGAGAAGCGTGGGGTCTCCACACCTGTCATGCCTTTGCCACCCCTGCCTCTGATGACCTCTGAGGCCCCTTTGGGCTCAGGTGCTGAACAGCCATGAACTCTGAAAGCCAAGAGAGACACAAACTAATTTGACGGCCAATTTGAGAACGGAGACATCCAGGGGCATCTCTGGAGCTGGGACTGCAAGCAGAGAACCTAGCTGAGGGTCAGATGGGGATTCGGGGTCTTGGTATCATTCCCAAGCTTGCTGGCCCAAAAGTCTTAAGGCTGGCCTCACTTTCCTCATCTGAGAAATGGGATTCCACAAGGAGTTTCATGGGAGCTCATTCCAGTTCCAGAAATAATACATCGAATGGCTGCCATCTGTGGGGTGCTTACACTGTGCCTTCCAGGCACCCTTAAAGGAAGTGGTATCAGCCCAATTTTCCGATGAGCAAACAGCTGCCCGTGGGGGCGAGGTAGTTTGCTTGTGGTTGTACTGCCTGTGAACAGGAAGCCCAGTGTGGGAACTGAGGTCTCTATGATATCAGAGCCTTTCTCAACCACTGGGCAGCAGTGTTTCCAACCAACCAACCAACTTGGACACTTTGTAACTCGTGATCTCATGTGGCCCCCACCCGACCCCCTTCCCTGGGAATGTCTCCTCATCTTTCCCCACCACCCTTTCCAGGGAGAGCCAGGCCTCGAGGGTGACAGTGGTCCTGCAGGGCCTGATGGGCTGAAGGTAAGTGTCCTGCTGCTGTAGGGTCTGGGGAGGGGGATGTTCTGGAACTACCTTCTACCTCTGCCCCCACTCCCCTCCTGTCCAAGACCTAAGCTTTCTCCTGGAAGCACTGTGTTCCCATAAAGCTCCGAGAGCAGACCTCTGGCTCCTATTGCAAGTAGCCTGTCCAGCACCCGCC